GACTCCGTCCCGTGTTTGGATGGGACTCTTCTTTGCGTGGAAGACAAGCTTGGCGATCCGGATAATATATTTCCTTCCTTGTAACCGACTCCGTGTAAACCCTAGCCCTCTCCGGTGTCTATATAAACCGGAGAGGTTGGTCCTTAGAAGACCGATCACAATTACAATCATAATCATCATAGGCTAGCTTCTAGGGTTTAGCCTCTACGATCTCGTGGTAGATCTACTCTTGTACTACTCATATCATCAATATCAATCAAGCAGGAAGTAGGGTTTTACCTCCATCGAGAGGGCCCGAACCTGGGTAAACATTGTGTCCCTTGCTTCCTGTTACCATCAGCCTAAGACGCACAGATCGGGACCCCCTACCCGAGATCCGCCGGTTTTGACACCGACAGACACCGTCGATTATTAGTGGCCATACATGTGAGTTACCAATAACCATCGGCTACTGCCTCCACCGTCGGTTATTGCTGTAATGACCGACGGCCCGTCGGCTATTAGATTTCCTTGTCGGAAATATGGGGATTTCTAGTAGTGGATGGTTCCTTCTCTCTAATTTTTTTTCTTGGTGAATAGGTACTTATGTAGTTGGAGTTAGGGTTGTGGGAGCTGCCAGGGGCCCACAAGCTTGCTAGGCGCGCCCCCTGGGCTTGTGGTGCCTTGGTGGCCCCCCTCTGCTAATTTTCTGTGCCAATATTTTTTATATATTCTGAAATAATTCTCCGTAAATTTTCAGCTCAACCGGAGAACTTTTATTTCTGCACAAAAACAACACCATGGCAATTCTGCTGAAAACAGCGTCAGTCCAAGTTAGTTCCATCCAAATCATGCAAATTAGTGTCTAAAACAAGAGCAAAGGTGTTGTAAAAGTAGATACGTTTGGGACGTATCAACGTATAGGGTGAGTTTGGGGCACCCGGGTGTGGATGCTCTTAGAACCTTTAAGCTCCTATTCGGTTAGTTATTTTTATAGAATGATTAACTTTGGTGGGGTTGCATATGACTTGAAGGCATTTGGAAAATCAAAGTGTCCCCAATATACATGTTTTCTTGTGGCTTATCATCAACACGAAAAGTTTGGTTCATCATAATCTTGCTAAGCATCGACATGTAGATGACATGACTTGTGTTTTATGCAGTGATCATGAATCTATACAACATCTATTCTTTGATTGCATTGTTGCAAAGAAAACTTGGGAAACTATTGCTGAATTCTTCACATTGCTATATGTTGCTCTTTTCAAGATCTTGTTGCCTTTTGGAAACAAAAAACACAGTCTGGAGTTGTTATCATTTTATCTGTTGCTATCTTGTGGAGCTTATGACTTTTGCAAAATGAATTTGTCTCCCAGGGTCGAAGGTGGTGAAGCTTGAAGTGCATCCTGGCTTCAGCAGGTTCTCTGGTTTGAGTCTAGAAAGTGTTGCATCGGTGCTCAAGCTACACTGCTCCTCGAGCGTTTTCGGCTTCTTATCATCACCGCGGGGAGCTTCTTATATCAACTCTAGCAGATTCGGTATATTCCCATCCCGCAAAATCTGTTTACAGATGCCTGTAAGAAAAATACGGTATTGCGAGCCCTCTGGTGGAAGAAATCCCGTAAACCAGTCCCGCAAATGTTTTACGGGATCTGTTCCGCACCGGAGGGCTCGCAGTACCACAATTTTTGCATAGCTTCGAACAAATTATAGATTTCAATGATGTGAACCGAATGGAATCATTATATAAATTTGACATATGAATATAAATGTTCTGGAAAGCAATTCACAATACAACAATAGTTTTCATTACAACAAATGTTCAAATTCAAATAATTATTACAAGACCAAATTGTTCAAATCACACACAAATACATATGAATGGGAATCTATCCCCCATAGAGTTGCCAACGATGCTCAATAAGATCATGTTGGAGTTGGTTGTGTGAATCACAATTCTCGATCTTCCGGTAGGTTTCAAAAAATGCAGTGATCTCATTTGTGTCCCTCGCATGCTTCACACGACTACCAACATTGTCATAATTAATCTCTAAGTCCAAATCCCTCTCATCATCGACGATCATGTTGTGTAGAATTACACAAGTAGTCATGATGTCTCTGAGGCATTTTTTATCCCAAAAGCGAGCAAGATCTCGAAAAATGGCAAACCAAGCATGCAACACACCAAATGCCCTCTCCTTGTCCTTTCAGCAAGCTTCTTGTGCTTCAGTAAAAAAATGTGCTTCTTGATTTTGGGGTCACTAATGGTCTTTACAAATGTTGACCATGAAGGATAAATAGCGTCGGTAAGATAGTACCCCATGATATACTCATGGCTATTGACAGTATAGTTGCAAGCCGAAGCTTTGTCACTAGCTAGCTAAGCAAATAGACGAGATTGTCGCAACACATTTACATCGTCCAGAGAACCCGACAAACCAAAGAAGCAATGCCAAATCCATAGATCATGTGAAGCCACGACTTCAAGCACGATGGTGGGTTTATGTTTATGGCCGGTGTATTTCCCTGCCCAAGCCACCGGGCAGTTCTTCCACCTTCAATGCATGCAATCAATACTACCTAGCATGCCTAGCCATCCCCTTGCTTCGTTCATTGCCATGAGCTTCTTTTGTCTTCTTTGTTCGGAGCTCGAAGGTACTCTTGCCAAAAACCCAGATCATTGTCTTCATAAAGACACAAACACATTTGATGGCGGTATCTTCTCCAATGCGAACAAATTCATCCGCGTAGTCGGCGGGAACACCATATGCAATCACTCTCATCGATGCTGATATCTTTATATGCACTAAAGCCAATCAAACCGGCGACATTCTCGCGCCAAGTGAAATTGCTCACAAGCTTCAATGATACGCACGAATAGGGACCTACGCATTCGATATCGCCTACAAAAGAGGTGAGCCGGATATTCAGTACCTCGATAAAGTAGTCCTTCATGAGCATCTTGTCGCCGAGAGCTCGGTTGCGGGGAATGCATAGTCAGCCGACCGTGGATACGCGCCGTTTTTTTCTCCGGGTCCGCTTCAAATTCCTCCATGAGATGCAGCAACACTAGGTTGTCGACATCGTTGTCGAGGATCATCTCTCCTATGTCCGAATCATCCGGCGAAGACGACGAGGACGAACTCCAGTCCATCTACAAAATGCATCTGAATAGCCCATGAATTTCACCTGAACCTCACCGAGCCAAATCGCTACAAAATGCTGCGGGTGTTGGACATACCTCATCCGGAGCCGGCCGAAGCAAAGCTGCACCGCCCCTTTCTTCTCCCCCACCGGCCGAAATTCCTTCCTCCGACGCGCGCGGGTGAGTCTCATCAACTCTGAAACAAACTGGATCAGCCACCTACTAGGTCGCACGCCAAGCTCCGGGGCGGATCCATGGCGTCGGCGGTGGCCGCGACCCCGCGGAGCCAAATGGGCACCCGCCGCCCTCAAACTAGGTGGAATGGATGCGGCGCGGGGCGACGGTGCTTACGAACGGCGCGGAGCAACCGGGGGCAGCAAGCAATGACGGGGAGGTGCAGCGGCGGGGACGGGGAGTGGGCTGGGAACGAAAGTGGGCGGAAATGTCCTCCGCGGCAAGGGAAAGGGGTTCCAGCAAAAACTAGACAATTCATGTAGATATAACGGAAATGGGTCGTGGTTTGCATGATCCCACAGAAAAAAAATCTGGAACGGTTGAATATACGAGATCTGTTCGGGCCGGCAAAATGGCCTCCATCTCATAAATCGCCGGTTATTTTACCAGATGGCTTGATTTACGGGGTCTGCTAGAGATGCTCTTAGGATAGCTCGGCACTGGTTCCCCTCTTATTTCGACACAAAATAGAATGCTTGTTTTAGCGTGTTGCGTGTAATAAGTTTGTCGCGGCTACTTTAGATTGTGGCTGAGAGTTGTGCATCGTTCTGGATGTGGACTTTTGCCTTGGGCTTTTTTATACCCCCTCCATTCCCTTATACAAGGTCACAAACTCAGATTACAGGTACCAAGGTAAAATTTAATGACTGCTTTGCGAGCTAACTTTTCTTCTCGTTAACCGGGATCATTAATATGCCCACATGCATGCAAGGAAGGAATGAGAAGGAAATTACATAGTGTCATTATAACTACATGCATGCAAGTATTAAATAAGTTGCTACTACAAGGAAACTTTATTAATTTTTACCTTGATTAATGTTAGTGGCCTTGTATAGGTGCAAAATGTATTTTTCATACTGGCCTTGTATAAGGAAATAGAGGGAGTATAAAAATTTTGGGCGGGGAAACCCCTTTGGATTTTAATTTAAAAAACCATATGCAGAGAGTTATGTCGACCGGCGCCTGAAGTGGCCGAAAAAGAAAACCGAGTACAAAGATTTCCGCCTTCGACTTCGAGGCCATCGATGAGCCCCTCTCTCTCAACCTCCAACCAGCATTCTCTCTCAAAAAAGAAAACCTCCAACCAGCATAGGAAGGTTCCTTTAACCCACTCACCCACGCCGCAAGCACCAATAGAGACGCGCCACGTGAGCCCATCCACATCACCTCCCAACCCAACCTCACCGACAAGTGGGCCTAATCTATTCACCAGTCCCACGAGACAGGGACACGTC